CCGACGTCCGACGAAAGCGAGAGGCGAACTGGAGGCAGATTGGACCTCGCCCTCCACCGGCCAGACCGGCACCTGCCCGAGGCCACCGCAACGCTGTGGCCGAGGGTGCGGGTTGTGCGCATGGATCACCTGGCAGCTCCGGGGCAGCGATAGATCGCGACCCTAGGAAGCGGAGTCGAAGTGAGCCACTGGAGGGGCATCCAGCGTGCGTGGCGGAATTTTACTCCCGATGCTGTCTCCGACGGCATCGACAAACATGGAACGACCATATCGGCGGCGGCCGCTGTGCCTAAGATCTTGCTTTTTGTTGGGGGGTGGGACAAGACGGTTGCTTTTCGTGGAGCACGCACATCTGTGGCGGCTTCCGAAAACCCTGGGCCCAAACACGTTGTCATCTCCTGGGGGCGCACCCTTTACTTCCGTCGCCCTTCCCGCCGGCCTCCCGCCGGCTTCCGCCGGCGGAGTTGGCCTCGTTTCACTTCTGTCGACGCTCCACCGCCGTTCCGCCGCATTCCGCAGAGGAGCAGAGGACAATTCCTTCGATCTATATCCTCGGGCAGCGCCCTTTTTGGAACGCCCCATGTGTGTCTGCACTTATCTGATCAGTGCAAATCGCCCATGCGGCGTCGGTGGATGGGCTGGTGGGGATGCGCGACGGCGTCAAGAACAACACATCTGCTAGCGCGGAATGCGTTCCATGGGACATCGTTGTATAGTGCAGCGTCGCAGAATCAAGCAGGTCATCGTATACCATGGCGTGACATCGCATAGCATAGCATGGCATGGCACAGTGCACACGTGCGTAGTAATATATTTCACAAGCTGGCGTAGCAATGATAATTTCACCATATCGCAGCATGACGTGTCAATGCAAATCACAGCGCTGCATAGCGGCACATATCATGAAGTAAGGCTTGACATGTAATGTTGCGCCACATCTTGTGGCACTCGAAGCCCAACGGCCCAAGGACCCCCTGGAGACGCCGAGGAAGCCACAGGGAACCCCCAGGTGACCTGACGGGGGGGACACCAATCGCCGCCAACCCCCTTGAACCAACGGAGTGGGAGCCCGCCCACGTCCAATCCAAACGAGAAGGAGAGCGCAACGCGCAAGAAATCGGGGCCTCACCTTGCACGTGTCGTGCCTGGCCTGGTGCGCAGGCTCGCCCTACCACTCCCAGCTTGCTGCCCGTGTCGTCTAAGCCTGTGCTCCAGCACACACGCACATCATCGCCAGGCTCTGAGCGTGCTCCACTGCCCCCAGCTTCCTCCACCCCTCTCTGCGCCTGTCCTCATCCCGGTGTGCCTACTTTGGCCCCGAAGCATCTCTCGGCTGCCCCGACCGCGTCTTGGATTCCAGTCGCCGCTGACAACAGATGCCGGGCCAGGTACTGTTGGGCCTCTCCTCCTGTTGAGCAGGGACCGACCGCCCCTGCATTCCGATAGGCCTACCACGAACTCTTCTGAGAACCCCCAACCTGTTCGAACAACAGAAACAATGTTCTTAGAGTATAAGCCCGATGTGCCAGACAAAGACCGTCTCAACCAAACATGCTCTGAGACAAACTGATCTCGTGCAGACCACCCAAAAAAAGGCTCTGGGGACATTTATCTTGCTGGGCCTCTCGGAAAGCCAGGACGCGCCGCCACTGCTCGATCCTGTGCAGAGGCCACGGCCCGCCGAAGCGCCGCACGGCAGGCGGCCCGCCACCCCTCCGAGGCGACGGTGCCCTGCACTGGGCTCTGACGCTACCCTGCGGGGCTCCGACGCTGACTCTGGCGCAGCGGAGGGTCGGCCGCGCGTCTCCTTGGCGTCGCAGAGGATCGGCACGCCTGGCAGATGCGCGCGCGAGGGGGGGGGGGGGGGGGGGGGGGGGGGGGGGGGGCGGGGGGGAACGGGGGGAAAGGGGGCAAACCGGCAAGCTTGCTGCTGCTGCTGCTGCTCCTCCTCCTCCTCCTCCTCCTCCTCCTCCTCCTCTGCATCCTCCTCTGCAGCCTCCTCCGCGCTCTCTCCTCCCAGAGGCTGCTCCTGCTCCTCCTTCGCATGCTCCTTCGCATCTTCCTTCACACCCTCTTCCTCCTCCTCCTCCTCCTCCTCGTAATCCTCCTCGTCCTCCTCCTGCTCCCCCTGCTGCGAAATCTCATGCCCCTGGCTCCGCTGCATTTTCCTCCTTCGCATCCTCCTGCTCCTCCTCCTCCTCCTGATGATCCTGCTCCTCGGCCTCCTCCTCCTCCTCCTCCTCCTCCTCCGTCTCCTTCGTGGGACTGGCGAGACGCGCCCAGGCAGGTGCGCCCCAGGCCCGAAAAGGGGCTGCAGATCGACGCCCTGCGGCACGGGCGCGGCTCCCCGGGGAGGCCACCTAGTAGAGGCCCACGCCCCGAAAGCTTCCCCGTGGGCCTCCAGCAAGAGCGACCGGCCGCCCCAGGAGACCCAGCGAGGCCCCCGAGCGACCCCGCGCTCACGACCCGGGCACGGCCGAAGGCCCTTGGGCGACTGCCAGTCGCAGGGTGACGTTCCCCCCCGCGGGTGCGTGCTTGCAGGCTGCTGCGGCGGCGCGCAGGCACCCATGTCGGGACGCGGGTAGCCTCTGCTGTCCCTTCTCCCCCTCTTCCTCCATTCCTTCCCTCCTCCTCCTCCTCCTCCTCTTGCCTCCTCCTCCTCCTCGTCCTCCTCCTACTCCTCCTCCTCCTCCTCCTCTTCTTCCCTCCTCCTCCTCCTCTTCCCTCCTCCTCCGCCTCCTCCTCCTCCTGCCCAGTCTCCTGCGCTCCTTCCCCCCTCCATTCTCGCTGCAAGCAACCCCTCCCTGTCGCACCCCCATGCGCGTCGGCAGCGCGGGTCGGGCGGTTGTCCTCAGACTTCCTCGCCATGCAACGTCAGGAAGCTTGGGAGATGCAGCAGCTGCACGGACCGAGGGGTTAGGCGTGTTCAGCATGGCGGCTCTCGCCTTCGAGGCGTGCACGGTCGTCGCACACGCCTGCAATAACTGCAAGGAAGCTGCGGCCGTTTTCAAAATGAGGCCCTCGCCTCAGCCACTCGCCTTAACTTGCACCAGCTGAACACATATGTCTGTGTTGTGATGACCACAGCACGATGGGTGATCGTTCGGATGTTGCCTATAGTTGTTGTACAAATTTGAGCTACTTCTAAGAATAGAGGGCGGTCTTTTTTTCAGAATGGCGGTCCCGCCTGAGCCCAGCGCACATTCGTCACACATACACACACACCTGCAACAGCTGCGACAATGGTTTTCAAAACGGGGCTCTCGCCTCAGCGACGCGCAGACTCGTCTGAAAAGCTTGCAGCCGCTGACAGGATTGGGTGGGGGAAGGGGGCGTCAAACTGGGGCTCTCGACTGAGCGAAGCGCACATCCTCTGCTCAGGGTGAAGAAACTTTCAGGCCAGGACTTCGCCCGAAGCGTTTTCTTAAACAGCAATCCAGATCCAGGTATACGAACACTCTACGAAGAATGAAGCCCCAAGAAAACGCCTAATTAGGGTCCGTTCCATATTCTTGAATTTCTTGGGCGGAATCTGGAGTCCACGAGCATGTACGCATTTTCCCAAGACTTCTGATCGGTGCGCAAGCCTGCGACCGTTGCACAGGTGTACGGCAGCCTGCTTTCCAAACGAAGCTCTGGCAGCGCGCCCGTTCGATGTCAACCGCCGCAGCCCCCTACAATGCCTTTTCCTGGCGGCGAACGAGGGGGGGGGAAGCGAAAAGGAGGGAGCCTTCTCAGACGGCTTGGAACACCCCGCGGCCTTCTGAAGTTTCCTGAGCCTTCCCCGGAGACGAAGACAACTTCTCCAAGACGAACGCTCTCGGCGAGACGCAGCCGCGGGAACGCATCCCGAGGCTGGGAAGCCGCCGAGGACCAACACGAAGTTCCGAAAACCTTCGAAGACCTGGAGGCCGAAAACTGACCCCTTTCTCGCGCTGAAGAGAATCGATGGTCTTCTTCTCAGTTCCCCCCTTCGATAGCGCCGCCGATTTCCAGAGCTGGTTCGCCCTTCGCGCGCCTCGCGCGCCATCTTGCCTTGCATTACAGGGACGGGGAGGGCGATCCTTGTGTTTCGGTATGTGGCTCGGGCATGAAACGTCCTCACTGGGACGCTTTGACGCATGAGCGCTATATGGGCGGTTCCGGAAACCCTGGACCCAAAAACGTGTTCATCTCTTGGGGGCAGGCACACGTTTACTTCACCCGCCTTCCGCCGCCCTTCCGCCGGCTTCCGCCAGCGGAGGCGGCCTCATTCTACTTCCGCCGACCTTCCGACGCCCTTCCGAGGCCTTCCGCCGCGAAAGAGATGACAAGTCCTTCGGCCCTCGAAGGCAAGCCCTTTTCTGGAACGCCCGACATGTCCTCCTTGGAGGCGCGCGTCCGACCTGAACATATAGTATACCCATCTAATCATATAGGTAGTTTTCCCAACGGTGTGGCCAGAACGTGCCCGCCACGACGCATATACTATAGGAAGTCTTGGTGCGCGCGTCGCCCCTGTGGGGAGGGGCGCGGTGGGGTGGGGGGCGACGCACACATATTATCAATATGTGGGGGTGACGCCGACTCGGCGTCCAGAAATCCGAAGCACCGCCATTGCCCCTGCACGGGCAGGATGCCGCCCCTTTTTTTGGAGTTTCGGGCTCACGCGTTCGTTCTTCCGCACACCAGTACCTTGATTGCACGGAGCGGGGGGGGGTAACTTTCTGAAACGGGGCTCTCGCTGAACACACCGTTGCGCTCAAGGCCCGCGCCAGAATGACAGGCACATAGGGCGCTCGCTGCCATCTGCCTTGGTATGGGGCCTCCTACATGGAGTCCGGGTTGATGGGGTCGGAGGAGCGCGCCGAATAGCCAATGCATCGGCGATGCATCGGCGACGTCGGTGATGCATCGGCGCCATCGGCGTGGAGAAGTTTTGGTTCCACATGGAACCGCGTAGTCGATGCATCGGCCATGCGGAGCGATCCTGGGATCCCATCGACTCCGACCCCATCTGCGGGGCCTAGACCTGGGCGGGCATCGGCGTATTCGACGACCTTTTGCTGCTTCCCGCTGTCTTCCCCAGTTTCCGAAAGCCTTCGGCGGGGGAGCTGCATGACTGCGGTGCGACTCGGTGTCCATGACCGGACACTCCAAAGGCGGAAAAGGACAACGGTGACGAGGACGAGCAGGACATCGTCGTCGTCGTCGGCAGACATTTCGACGCGTGGTGCCTGGGTTGACGATGGTCTCCTGGCGGCGCGGGCGATCGGTGGGGGGGGCCACCAGCCCGCGTGGGGATGCAGCTACAGGGAGGCTAGGAGTAGGAGGCGGAAGAAAAAAGGAATGGATGGGGAATAGGAGGAGGGAGGGGGAAGATGACGGAGGGGGAAGAGGAAAAGGGGGAGGAGGAGGAGAAGGAGGAGGAGGAGGAGGGCAAGGAGGAGGAGAGGGTGAGGATAATGATCAGCAGAGAGGAAGGAAGGTGAGAGGGGGATAAAAAGGGGAAGCGGAGGGCGGGGCGCCAACGCAGAGAGACAGAAACATTTTTTTGGTCGGCGGGGCGAGAGCGAACCTCTTCCGCTAAAATCTACGCGGGCTGCGCGCAGCTATAATTAGGGAGACAGGGCACAGGAAGGCGGGGCCTCAGGCGGCCGGAGCGGGCGGAGCCCGGGGTGCAGGCGGTGCCGAAGAGATTGCACAGGAAAAGGTACGCCGCGGACAGGGATCGGGGGCGAAGACCCGGAAGGCGAAGGAGCAGGTGTTGCCGTCAACGGCACGTCGCCACTTGACCAGGTCGACGCCCAGGAGAGAAAAGAACACCACGAAGGCGATGAGCAACGATGTGCCGCCGGATGATGCAGAGGAGGCCCAGGAAGAAGAGGAACACCACGAAAGCGATGTGCAACGTTGTGCCACCAGGTGATGCGGATGAGGCCCGGGGTGGTAGTCCAATCCACGACCAGGTTGCAGCTTGCTTGCGGTGCGGCCACAAACGAGGGGGCCGTTCGTGACCGACAGGATGTCGGTGGAGTGCAGGGAGAAAATCTGTCCTGCACCGTCAGCGCGTGTAGACGGGCAGCAGCCACCCACGATGCGCTGACATCCGCATTGCCGAGGGCCGGGCCTGAGCCGCGCAGCGCCATGGCGAGCGGGGCCGCCGAGGCGGCAAGGTGCAGCGCCCGGCACCGGGCCGAAGCCGCGCAGTGCCGGGCGCTGCCGCCATGAGAGGGGAGGAAGCGAACGGGGGGGGGAGAAGCGAACATTTGTTGTTGTTCTTTTCCCCTCCCCCCCGGCTTCCTTACAAGTCGTCGTCGGAAGGGACCGCCAGGTCCACACCGCCTGGCCCTCCCTCTTCTCCCACGATGCTGCCACTGCCGCCCCCTCCTCCTTCCATCGTGCTGCCACTGCCGTCGTCGTGCTCTCCATCTCTTCCCACCGTGCCACTGCCGCGGCCACTGCACTCCCTGCCGCTGCCCTCGAGGACAGCTGCCACTGCGAACGCGTGTTCTTCTCGCACGCGCTGTTCAGGGTGCCGTACGTGATGGTGTTGGGCTCCAGCTTCACGTCTGCCGTCTCGTTCAGCAGCGCCACAGCCTGCTGCCACTGCCAACGCCTGCTCTTCTCGCACGCGCTGCTCAGGGCGTTGTAGGTGATGATGTTGGGCTCCAGCTTCACGTCTGCCATCTCGCTCAGCAGCGCCATTGCCGGCTGCCTCTGGCAACGCCTGCTCTTCTCGCACTCGCTGTTCACGGCGCCGTAGGTGATGATACTGGGCTCCAGTTGCACGACCACCATCTCGAGCGAGGGGGGAAAGAAGAGGATGAGAAGGGGACGGAGAGGGAGGAGGAGGAGGAGGAGGAGGAGGAGGAGGAGGAGGAGGAGGAGGAGGAAGAGGAGGAGGAGGAGGAGGAGGAGGAGGGGAGGAGGAAGAAGAGGAGGAGGAGGAGGAGGAGGAGGAGGAGGAGGAGGAGGAGGATGGTGGATGAGGAGGAAGAGGAGGAAGAGAAGGAGGAAGAGGAGGAGGAGGGAGGAGGAAGAGGACGCTCCGAGAGGGGCTCAATGAGGGCCCCAAGACGGAATGTGCGACCCTCTGACGGGGAAACCTAAATTCAGGACCCCCCTCCTTTTAGGCCACGGGGGCCAAAACGATCCCCAGAGGCATCCCGGACGCCCCCCCCAGGGAGCTTCAAAAAGGCCCCAAGACGCCCCAAAAAGGTCACTGTGAGTGCCCCAACAAGCCCCGCAAAAAAAAAAGATGGCCCCAAAAGACATCCGAGACAACATTTCCAAGCTGGTTGCTGCACCGCGTGGTTCTGCACTCCCCTGATCATAGCAACTCGCTTGGCGATATGTTACTTGATGGGCTGGCGGGAGTACGCGAAGCACGGAACATTTCGTGACATGGTGCTGGTCAGACACAGAGACACTATCAAGCGGGAGCCTGCTCCCGACAAGGAACACCTCTCCACCCGTGTAGTCATCACACAAAAGTGAAACTATGGTCGCATACTTCCTCATGTCTCGAGCGATTGCCTCATGTTTGAAGGTACCGCCCTCCATCCGTGCCCCGGTTGCGAACTGTTTGGGCGAATGCGCGCGGCACCAAAACGAGGCAACATTTTGGGTAACAGATGCCGCCAACACCCGCTTAACTGTTGCAAACTTGTGTAGATCATGCGCACGGTGTTCACGTGAGAGCTGCATTTCGAAGACTACGCACCCTCCTAGCGACACCGTCGCCAACTTTCTGAATCAATGCGCGCGGCGCTGGGGTAAAAGCTAAACTTTGCAGCGGCTGTGCAGTCCAAACTTCAGGGCCACATGCTCATAGCTCGACGATGTGCAGTTATGTGTAAAGAAGGAAAACCAATGAGGGTGAGGAAGATTACGCTTTCGCAACAGGACGTCCCGAACCCGGGAAATCCAATCAGCAGCGAACGAAGGGGGAAAAGTGAAAAATGGCGGGCCTTTTCAGAGGGCCTGGAAGTCCCCCCCAGCCCCTGGGGAATTCTTCTACGCAAGCAGCAGGGCAACTTCCCAGAGGGCGCAAGGGCTTCTGAGAAGTCCCGCCGCCCTCTGCGAAGGCCTCCTGCTTCCCGCCCCCCCCTTGCTCGCCACAGGAAACTCCCCAGAGAACGCGAGTGCTTCTGAAAAGTCCCGCCGCCCTCTGCGAAGGCCTCCTGTTTCTCGCTCCGCTCCCCACCCACCCCCTCGCTCGCCGCAGGAGCCTTCACAGAGGGCGCGAATGCTTCTGAGAAGTCCCGCCGCCCTCTTCGACGACCTCCTGCCTCTCGCCCCCCCCCCCCCCCCCCTCGTTCGCCACAGGAGACTTTCCAGAGGGCGCGGATGCTTCTGACTGAGAAGGCCTCCTGCCTCTCGCCCGCTCCCCCTCCGCTCGCCGCTGCCTTCTGAAGAAAGAAAATCGTGCTTCTCGCCCCCCCCCCCCCCCCCCACCCCCACCCCCTTCGCTCGCCGCCGATCCGGGCGCTCTGCGCTGACAGTCTGGTGCGCACGCCAGCGGCTCCTCCCGCGCGCAAGAGTCCCGCTGCCAAAACCACGAGGGGGCGCAGGCCGCCTCCCCCACGGCGGCACTGGGCCTGCCACCACCCCAGCTGGCACGTACACCGCCAGAGGGCGCGCCACATATGCGGACCCTGGGAGGAGGGAGGAGGAGGAGGAGGAGGAGGAGGAGGAGGAGGAGGAGGGAGGAGGAGGAGGAGGAGAGAGAGGAGGAGGAGGAGGGGAGGAGGAGAAGGAGGAAGAGGATCAGGAGGAGGAGGAGGAGGAGGAGGAGCAGGAGGAGGAAGAGGAGGAGGAGGAGGAGGAGGAGGCGGACGAGGAGGAGGAGGAGGAGGAGGATGCCGCTGGCGTAAGGAGCGCCCACAAAGGCGTAATGGAGCGCGCTGCTGCGTCCATGTCCGCCCAAGGCCAAAAATGCGCCCGGTGGCAGAACGCAGCAGAATCACCCCCGCAAAGGCAGAATGAAGCACGCCCACCCCCGTGCCCCCCAGCGCCACTGCTGAAAGGGGGATTGCCCTGGCGGCGGGGGTCCTGAATGTTGTTTCGACGCCGGCGACAGCTCTCTCACACGCTGCGCGCGCGGCGCGCAAGTATCTTCACTCGAGCATCGCTGGCCCCACTCTACCGAGGGCGAGCGCCCCCCATTACCGGGGGATCACGGGTGGAACTCTTCATCGCGCGCTGGGCGCTCAACCCCGCACCCCTCGACGTTGCAGGCGTGCTTGAACATGCACCGCTTGCCGTAGTTGTGCTTGCCGTTGTTGCAGAACTTGCAGAACTCCTTGCCCGAGTTGTCAGCCGCGACCGTCTCGAGGGCCGCGCGGGCCTTATTAGCTGGCGCAGGGGCCCCTTCGCCATGGCTGCCAGCGGCGGCCCGGTCAGCGTGGAGCTCTGCGAACAGGGAGACCCACTCGGTCCTGCACTCCTTCGCGGCGTCCGTGAAAATCTTGTCGTTGCGCACGGCGTGCACCCACTTCGCGCGCGCGTGCTGGTCCGCGCGCCTCGCGGCCTCCACGCTGGGGAGGCGCCCGTTGTTCTTCTTTTACACCTTGAGCACGACCCACTCGTGGTCGTCCAGCAGCACCGACCACTCCGCCGCCGCCCAGTCCGGCGCGGAAGCCCATGCCATTGCGTTCATGAGGGCGCGGTGCTGGCAGGCGAAAGCGTGGGCCGACATGTCGTTGTCATCAGGCCTGCACTGCGCGGCGTCGTTGTCAAAGGCGCGCGCCTTCCTGAGGTCGTGCACCGTGGAAGCCTTGCTCTCGTGCTCTCGCACCGAACGCCCCATCAACGCATCGTTTCCGAAGAGGTGGGCTGGCAAACGGATATGGTAGTACTCCGCAAACGTGTTTATCTTCTTGGCACGCACCTCAGGGTCCACTAGGTCGTCCCAGTCACCGAACTTACCCTTCTTGGGGAGTTCCAGCCCACCAATTACCAGGGCTTCGGCCTCTTGCCACGCAGCCTTTACCGGCTGGCACACCGGCCTGTCGGACGCATCCAATTCCGCAGGGGTACAAATGCCCTCGCCGACATCGGCCTTCGAGTCCGCTAGGCCAGCGAATTTGAAGATTGTTATCATCTGTTTTGCCTTCAGGTACTGAAACACCTTGTCGTCGACACCGTGTTTGGGAAGCAGCTTGCCCAACCGAGCATCCATCTCTAACGCCATGTTTATGCGGAAGATTGTTCGCATCGGCTGGCAATTGCGTTGCGTTTCGGCCCTTTTTTCGAGCCACAATGGCTCCGGACAGCTTGGTTCGACGAGCCCGCAACAAAGAACGGGAACGATGCATATGGGACTTGGGTGTTCCTCCCTGGCGCGCATGTGTGCTGAAATGTAACGCGCATCCTGCTCTTGGCTGTCCGACCACTGTGCGCAGATGTTCAAGTTTCCATGTGGCGTGAACTGTGCATATGCTCAAGCCCTCAAGTGGTGCCGATGGCTGTCTGGACTGCGGGGTGGCCTTCATGTTTCGTATTGCAGGGGGATGTGGAGGCTTCAACCTTGAACGCCAGCCCTGGGCGCCACCATTGACCGCTTCCCGCGGCCGGGGGGGCGCCTCGGGTCACCCTGCAGGAGGATGCGGAGGCATCAACCTTGAACGCTCGCCCCCCCCGGTCGCCCCCTCTTGACCGTTTTACGCGGACGGGGGGGCCTCGTGAGCTGGTCATTGTATCTCACCGTTGCGGCCAGTGACAATATATGTTACAACATACTACACGTATGGGGGAGAGAGAAAAGAGAGAGACAGGGAGAAAGGAAACGCGAATATCGTGGCCAGCGCGTGTCTTCGCACGCCTCTTTCGCACGACTGGGCCCATTTGTCGCGCAGTCTCTCGCGGGCATTGCGGCAAACCCTTTGGGATCGCGCTTCTCGCGCTTAGTTTCTAGGGGAGGAGGGGATACTTAATGTACACAGGTTATAAGCGGCCCCTTTCGGATTACTCACTCGCCCCCTTACCCAAATCCGCAACTGCACGTCTACACAAAAGTCGGAGGTACGATGAGAAATGTGGACGCCAGGGGCCCTGCCTACCACAAACCTCGATCCAATAATGATACTAAGGACAAGAAGACGAAGAGGCAGGAGGGAAGGCCATGACCCGGGGGAAAGTTCGGCCCCGACCATGATCCCACCCCCCTAGACTCTGGTCGTCACCCCGCACTTCGACGCCCCCGAGGGGTCTGGCATTTCCTCCTGGAAGATGAGCCCTCTGGATCCCTCATGGGGGCGCGCTCCGACCAAAACTCCCGCTGGCGGATCCGAACACGGCGTCGAGGTGCCTCCCAAAGGCGCGGACAAGGCCACAGACGTCCGAAACGCTCGATACTCGCGTTTGCACGACCGAGCTAGCTACGGAAAGAATGGGCACGATGCCCAGCAACAGAAGCTGTCCCCAACCGACGGGGGCCTCACTCGGTAGGGCCGGCGATTTCTGCCTCTCGAATAGGCCACGCCCGCGGGAGGCGCCGACAACAAGCCCCTCTTCAAAATGGGCTAGAACTGCTGCCGATCTTCGCCAGCATTCAATCCGTAACCATGTCGGCGGCACAGAGGAGCACGACGAAATCAGGACCGAGACAACATCGGACCGGGATGCTTCTTGCTGAAAGAACAGCACACGCACTCAAACCAACAGGGGGAGGAATGGGGAAGGGCGAGGAGGTGATGGCGCTATACACATGGGCGCGGACTGTCGGACCCCGAGAGGGGCTCCCGTGCGAGCGGGGGCCCCGTCCGACTGTGCACACCCATAGCCCCCACACCGGAATTCCAGCCCGAGAGATCTAGGGCTCGCGTCGGCATGGGTGCCAGTTGCCAGCTCATGAACAATTCCGGGGCCTCTGCGATCCAGAGGCTCTGGAGGGCGTGCAGGGCGCCGCGGCCGTTCCAGAGCGCCCCGAAACGCCCCGAGAGCGTTCCGGAACGCTATGGAACGATTTACATTGGTCTGGCCCCTCGAAGCATGACGACGATGACAGCTGGCCCAGGGGAAGGGGTCGAGTCCTGCGGGGGCCAAGGCCGCAATGAAATGTGGCGTCGGACGACGAGGGAGCCCCGGAACTCGGCCGTCGCGACTCTTTTGAATCCCGATGCTCTCTGGAGTCCCGATGTTTTGCGAGCGTTCCGGAACGCTCTGGAGCGATTTGCTGCGGCCCTCGCCGCGCCCTCGAAGAATCCTCTAGCCCCCCGCCGCCGTGGTCGCCCGGCTGGCGTCCCCGGGGAGCGGCCACTGCAAATCATGACCGGCGGCATGTGCGCGGCCCAGCGGGGGGGCCAGGCACGTAATGAAAGAAGAAGAGGCGCCATGAAATCTGGGGAAACATGATGGCCCCCGCCATGATATCCACCCCCCCCTAGCCATCCCCCCCCTCTTTTCCGCCCCCGATGATCGCCCGGCTGGCGTCCCCCGAGACGAGATCGGCCAACCTCGCCCCCGCCGGTCCTCCAGGAGGATGGTGGAGTCCATGTCTCGCGACTGAGGGGCGGGCGCGGCCGTGGGAGGAGGAGGAGGAGGAGGAGCAGGGAGGAGGAGGAGGAGGAAGAGGAGGAGGAGGGAGGGTAGGAGGAGGAGAAGGGCCAAGGGTAATGAGGGTGGAGGGAGGAGGGGGAGGAGGGAGGGGGGGGAGAAAGGAGGTATGAGGCGAGGAGGGGGAGGGAGAAGGGATACAGGAGTGAAGAGGGAGAGGGTGGGGTGATCTGGAGGAGAAGGAGGTGCGAGGAAGAGACGGTGGATGGAGGAGAAGGGGGACGGAGGAGGGGTGAGGAAGGAGGCAGGAGGGAGAAGGAGGGGGAGGAAGAGGAGGAGGGAGGTGGGGGTAGGACGAAAGATCGGGGAGGAGGGAGATAGTTCGCGGCGGAAGGCTAGGGGGCTCCCGGGAGGTTCCTACTCGTAGGTATCCCAGGACGTGATTCTTCAATCCGCGGGCCTCAGAGGTCTCGACCACTCCTAAAAGGTAGAAGAAGGAGGAGAAGGAGGAGGAGGAGGAGAGCAGGAGGAGGAGGAGGAGGAGGAGGAGAAGGAGGAGGAGGGGAGATGATGATGATGATGATGTGATGATGATGATGATGATGATGATGATGATGATGATGCTGATGATGCTGATGCTGATGATGATTGATGATATGATGATGATGATGCTGATGATGAGGAGGAGGAGAGGAGGAGGAGTAGGAGAGGAAGAAGAGGAGGAGGAGGAGTAGGAGGGGGCGATGAGGAGGAGGAGGAGGAGGAGGAGGAGCAGGAGGGGCAAACATAATGAGGGGAAGGGAGGAGTTGGCAGGAGGGCAAACTGTTGGTGGCGCTGGGTCTCGGAAACGGCCTTCGGAGACCGAAGCGAGCGAGACGATGCAAAGGCATAACAACAAGTCCGACTGAGGTTTGTGCGGAGGTCTCTGGAATCGGCTACTCGCACGAGTGGCCCTGGCCAAGGAGTGAACTTGGGTGCGACTTTCCGATCGTTGCGTGCGATGCGACAGCAGCGGCCGATGTGCTTGCTTGAGTTTGGGCATCCCCACGCCAACTAAAAAGCCGCGCACCACAGGCTACTCTGGCGATGGGTCACCCCTATGCGTAGACGACGCCATCGTCGTTGTAGATGTCGTCATCGCCGTCGCTGGACTGGAATCAGTTGATAATGACCCCGTAGCTCGTCTCGACAGCGGGCACGTGAATGCTGCCATTCCCGCCCCACGCACTGGCGCGCGCCTCCCACTAGGTCCCGGCGTACACTTCGTGGACGTAGAACCCCGAGTACGCCAGGGCGCGGTAGAAGTCCCACAGCTGGGCATCCCGGTCCAGGCCCCCGTCCGGCGCGAAGGCGAGCACTATGACGGGCATCGCGGCCACTGTCTCCCACTTCGGGCTGGACTGCTCGATCAGGATGGCCGCTGGGTCGAGGAGGGGTAGAAGGCACGATGGGCGTCCCGTCGCTTCGTGGGGTGGTCTGCCGTCGACAGGTCCCTGGCGCCGGCTGTCGGGACGGGATCGAGATGCCGGGAGCCTGCCGGTGCGAGCGGCGGACTGGGCTGCGTGTCCGCCCGCGCTGCGGGACCCCGCCGCCTGGCGCCAAAGGGGTGCCGGGTGCCGCCGTCGCGCCCTGGCCCACGGGCGCGGTCTCTGCAGGGCCCGCTGGCGGCAAGGCGCGCCGAGTGGCCAGCTGGGGTCCACACAGCGGGGTGGCAGCGACGAGTGCTGGGCCGACGGGCCCGCTGCAAAGGACCCGCCGCCACTGTCTGCGGCGGCGTGGCGGCTCGCCCCGGGCAGTGCGCGCAGACACACGGTCGCCTCCCAGCCGGTGCCCGAACCACCACCCGCAGAACTGGTCTCCGCTGCGCTTGCCCCAGACCCCCTCGAGTCGTGACAAAAACACGATGGGCGTTTCTTCGCTATGTTCGGCCTGGAGGCCCTTTCCTGGCCTCGGGACCGTGAAAAAACGATTCAGGATAAAAAACCCCTCCGGGGGAATCGGTCAAGGCCTCGGTCGACGTCATGAAAAAATCATGACGTCGGGGGTCTGAGTGTCCCAGAAGTACCACTGCTCGTCGAGGCCGTGAACTTGCTCGCCCCTTTGCGGTGCGTCAGCATCCCGTGGTCCTGGGCGGGCATGGTTTAGGATCCGCCGACGATGCTCCCGATGCTCGCGTTGCAGCCTCCCTCGGCCGTGAGCGTCCCTTCTGGTGCCGGGCCGCTGGCGGATGGCGCGCCGGCGGCCCGTCGGCGGGGCGGCCTCGTCGGGGGCGCCGGCGGGGCGCCGGACGAGGGGGCCGCCGCCGCTGGGCCGCTGAGGCGCTGCTCGCCAGCCGGGCGGCCTCGATCTGGCATCATGCGCGCGGGTGTGCGCGCGCGGGGAAGCTGCGGCCAGTTGCGGCCAGTTGCGAGCCTTGAGATCCGACGTTGCAAATCCGCCGACCCTGTCGGCGTGTGGAAGAGGCTTTGTTGTTTGCCCCATCTTCCTCGTCGTTCCTTTTTCCCGTTTCCCTGCAGCGTCGTCGCTTCTGTTCCTTCCCTACAGCCGCCTTCTCCTCCACTGCGTCCGTCGCTTTCTCTCCTGTCCTATACAACCTTTTCCTGAAGCATGTCGGTACAAACCGAAACGGAACAACGTCGCCTCTGAGTCAGAGGGAAGCCCCTTCCCTTTCTTTCCTTCCCCGCCAGGGGGGGGGGGTCCCGGGGGGGGGGTCCTGGGTCAGATACGCCGCCCTCCCGGCGTCGCTTCTGTCCCTTCCCTACAGCCTTCTTCTCCACTGCGCCCGTCGCTTTCTCTCCTGTCCTATACAACCTTTTCCTGAAGCGTGTCGGTACAAACCGAAACGGAACAACGTCGCCTCTGAGTCAAAGGGAAGCCCCTTCCCTTTCTTCCCTTCCCCGCCAGGGGGGGGGTCCCGGGGGGGGTCCTGGGTCAGATACGCCGCCCTCCCGGCGCCGCTTCTGTCCCTTCCCTACAGCCTTCTTCTCCACATCCGCCGACCCATGACCAATCCAGGTCCTGGGAAGCGTGTGATTTTTGTGCAACTCATCTGCCCTGTTGAACGCTCCATATTCAATGCTTGTTGCATCCCCCCCGGCTTGTCGCAACCCTCGTTCACTTCCCCTGCTTTCGAGACCCTAACTATTGAGCCGTGTAGGAACGCCCTGCGACCCATCTGATGCCGTCTCAAACCCCTCTCAGACATCTTTCCCTGCTCCTCCTCCATCGTTTTCGTCGTCCACGCCTGCTCCATCTCTTCCTCCTCCTCCCCCTTCTCTCTCCACTTTTCCATTCTCTCCTCCTCCTCCTCTTCCTCCTCCTCTTGCTCCTCCTCCCCCCTTCTCCTCTTCCTTCTCCTCCTCCTCCTCTTCCTCCTCCTCTTCCTCCTCCCCCCCCCTCTCCCCCCCTTTGCCGTCGAGAGCCGATGCCTCCAGGGTCGGCGGCACAGGCCGTGAGGCCCGCGCAATAAAAACAACATCTCAAAACATCACGCCCGGAGCCCAAGACGGACCCCATCTTTCCGCGTCATTGTTCGAGCTGGATCGACATGTGAGGGTCCCGAGGCCCGGCATTGAGCGAAAGCGCCCGTGACGAAAAAATTGCAACGCCAGGATCTCAGGGAGAGCACCTCCAACCGATCGTCTGGGGCGGCCCGCCGCCGCGTCCCGGACGCGCTGCTCTCTCAGGCACGAGCGATGGGGCAATCGCGCGCAGCAGCTGGCGGGACCAGGGCCGGCGCCTCCTGAATGGGCGGCTCCTCGGAGCGGCCGAGGTGATCGGGCAGGCCGTCTTCGGCAAGCTCGGTGGGGGGTGTCGGCGACGGCCTGCGATGGATCACTGGCGTGGCGTTCGGCGACGGGCTTCCGGCTGGCTTGGGGCTCTGAGCTCGGCGGCGTGAGCGGCGTGTCCGCGTGCGGCTGCGTCCGCGGCCTGCCTCTGGGCGGCTGCGGCCTGCGTCGGCGTGCGCGTGCGGCTGCGCGCTGTCATCGGGGCGGTCGGCGTTCTGGGCTTCGTCGCATTCGGCTGCTCACCCGCCCCGGCCGCGGCTGCGGCCGCGGCGGGCGCGCGTGGCGGCGCGGCGGCCGCTCTGCTGCTGCTGTTGCTGGCGGGCCTCAGTAAGCTCCTGAGTTCGGGCGACCGCAGTGCGCATGTCCACCCGCGGCGGGTCCTGGGAGGACGGCGCGCTGGCGCACACCGCTTGCATCGCATCGTCCTCTCGACCCAGCCTGTATCTCCTCTTCCTCCTCCGCCTCCTCCTCCTCCTCCTTCTCCTCCTCCTCCGCCTCCTCCCTTCTCCTCCTCCCTTCTCCTCCTCCCTCCCCCTCCCCCTCCCCCTCCTCCTCCTCCTCCTCCTCCTCCTCCTCCTCCTCCTCCTCCTCCTCCTCCTCCTCCTCCTCCTCTCCTCCTCCTCCTCTCCTCCCCCTCCCCCTCCTCCTCCTCCTCTCCTCCCTCCTTATTCCTCTTTTATTATTATTATTCTTATTCTTATTCATTCTTCTTCTTCCTCCTCCTCCTCCTCCTCCTCCTCCTCCTCCTCCTCCTCCTCCTCCTCCTCCTCCTCCTCCCTCTTCCCCCTCGCTCATCCTCGTTCTCCTCTTCTTCCTCCTCCGACTTCTTCTCCTCCTCCCTCCTCCTCCTCTCCTCCTCTCCTCTTCCTCCTCCTCTTCTGCGTAGTCGTTCTCTTCCTCCTCCGCCTCCGCCTCCTCCTCTTCTTCCTCCTCCGAGCCAGCCCTTCCTTGAGCCTCCCGTGTGGTCGGCTGCAGTCGGCCCCAGGGGGCTCCGAAGCACCCCGCGGGCAGGGGCCTCTCTGGAGGCCTCCTGGGAAACCTCCACGGCATGGGGGAGGGGGCACAAAGAGGCGGAGGCGGAGGGCGAAAGGCAAGCTACGTGCGATCGCGTCATATCTGACGTCCTACCCCTCCCTCCCGGGAATCCGGTGTAAAAACAATACGTGGAAGGGGGGCAGGACATTTCCCGGACGTCATCAAGGGAGAGAGGAGAGTAGTATGCATATGGTGTAACTGTAGAAGGAGAAGGAGGGAGGAGGGTGGTAGGAGGACCGTTTCACAATTGTCGACCCATGAGCCTGCCCGAGAAAACCTGCAGCCACCCGAACGTCGGGGAAGGGCGAGGAGTACGGAGGGGAAGCGGGAGGAGGGAGGGAGGAGGGAGGAGGGCTGGACTGATCCTCCAAAGGAGGGCAGCAGTGGCTTCATGCGCGGCCGCCTTGCAGTCACCAGAAGCAGAAGCACAGGGGGGGGCATCGTGCGCGACCCCACCACGACCGAGCAAGAGTCCGCTTCCGCACTCCTCGGAATGGGGGGCGAGAGAGGAGACAGAGGAGGAGAAGCGCGGAGGGAGAGGAGACAAGGGAGGCGGGAGGAGACGGGAGAAGACGGGAGGAGGGGGGGAGGAGGGGGGAGGGAGAGGGACGTGGAGGAGGGACGAGATGTAAGGACGGCCAAAGGGACGCTACAAACATAAACATAAACATAAACAGGAGCAGGAACAAAAACACCCGCAGCAAACATACACTTTGGATCTGCGCTGGTCACCCCCCTCCGTGGCGCGCGGCGCGCGACAGGGGCGGCGCTGGGGGCGCCACGAGCGGGCGCCCGGCGCGGATCCAAGAAATCAGCGCGGAACGCCAGAAAGTTTCTGTTTATGGCGGTTCGTCCTTCTTCGAAGGGGGGCGGGAAAAGGGAGAGGAGACAGGGGAGGCGGGAGGAGACGGGAGGAGGGGGGAGGAGGGAGGACGAGGAGGAGGGACGAGGTGGAAGATGGAGGACAAAAGAGAGGACGAGGACGAGGAGGGCGGAGGGGTGGGGGAGGCAAGCGTTAGTCGGGCATGTCCTCCTGCAGGCATATTTTGGAGGAGACATGTTAAACAGTCAAACGAATATCCAAACGTGGTCAAACATTGTCGAAACATCGTCCCCATATGATTTCTCCCCACATCCAAAGTGGGGTTCTTGGTTTCTCGAAACACCCCGCGCAGGAATAAGAGCACACCCACACTCACACACACGCACACACACACACACCCGCGCGCACTCACACACTCACGCACCCACCCACGCACTCGCATACTCACACACAAGCACGCACGCACCCGCTCAATCACCCATTCACACACACGTACATCATCATCGTCATCATCATCATCATTCACCCACGCACGCACCCACTCACTCACCCACCTATTCGCCAGCTCACCCACTCACTCACACCCTCATAATGATCAGCATCATCACCCACATCATCATCAGCACCATCACCAACACCATCGTTATCATCATCGCTATCATCAGCACCACCTTCACTCACTCAGTAACTCATGCACTCACTCACTCATCTCAGGCGGGAACTTCGTCTGTAAGCGAATTGCGAGGAATTTTCAAGCGGGGGGGCCTCCCTATGGGGCCCGCATATCATGATACAAATCCATCTGGTCATCGGAACCCTGTGACTGTCATCAAGTTTGGCGTCTTCAAGCTTGAGCATGGTGGAAGTCTCAGGCGGGAGCCTCGTTTGTGAGTGGGTTGCAAGGAAGTCTCAGGCGGGAGCTCCCCCTCTATGGTGCCCGCAGCTCATATCACGAACCCGAGCGGGCCATCGGAATCCTGTGACTATCGTCACTGTTGGCCTCTTCAAGAATGGCGGAAGTCTCGGGCGGGAGCCTCGTCTGTGAGTGAATTGCGGGGAAGTCTCATGCGAGGGCCCCCTCCCTATGGGGTCCGCAGCTCATGTTACTAATATGAGCAGGTTATCGGAACCCTGTAGCTGTCGTCACTCTTTGGGCTCCTGAGGCCTGAATCGGGGGGAATATCAAGCAGGGTTGTCTCAACGGCTGCGCGGTGCGGCCACTAGAGAATGCGCCCGTGCTGGCCGAGGCAGCGACGGCGCCGAGAAAAAGCGACGCGCGCGCTCCTGCGAAGGGCGGTGAAGGAGGAGGAACACAAGGACGAAAAGGAGGAAACAACCGAGGAGGAAGGGGAAGGAGAGGAGGAGGCGGAGGACGAGGAGGAAGAGGAGGAGGAGGAGAAAGAGGAGGCGGAAGAGCAAGAGAATATGACATGCAACGAGTAGGAAGATAATGAATGGAGGAGGATGAGGAGGAGGAGGAGGAGGAGGAGGAGGACGCAGAGGGCGGAAGGATGGCCTCCGCCAGTCGAAGAAGACAAGGGCGAGGGACAAACTAAATCTATTCTCATGTGGGGTCCTACCGTCGGAATAATTTGGGGGCTGTTTTTGAATGGACGTGCCCGATTTAAGGCAAGCAGTGAAGCGCCCGGGCCGCGCTACGGCCCTCGGCGGGGCTGCGCCGCCCCCAGACCCCCGACGTCGTGATCTTTTCTCTGTTCCAATAGCGACCTCCAGAGGTCTGGACCCCTTCCCCAGGGACCCGTCTTTCGTCCCGAGTGGTTTTCTCCACGGCCCCGAGGCCTGGGAGGGGCCCCCAGAGGCCGAGAATAGGCGACAAACCTGGTGTCGTCCCAGCAGGCCACACCGAGTAGCCCCGGCCGACCTCAACAGGGCGCCCGAATAGTCGGGGGCGGCTGGGGGTGTTGCGACCGCCAAGGGCGGGGGGGCCTGTGAAGGCCAGCCCGGACTATCTGCAGGAGGAGGAGGACGAGGAGGAGGACGAGGAGGGGGAGGAGGAGGCCGAGAGTGGCAGAAATCACCGCCCGTCGTGATCTTTGTTGGGGCTCGAGGGGTCCTGGTCATCGTTGTCGTCGTCGCCGTCGCCGTCTTCGTCGTCGGGTCCTCGTCGTCGTTGCTCGTCCTCGTCGTCGTCGTCGTCCTCGCCGCTGTCGTCCTCGCCGTCGTCGTCGTCGTCGACGTCGTCGTCCTCGTCGTCGTCGTCGTCGTCCTCGTGGGTCTGGGCTTTCCTCGCCTTGTCAACACGCCCGGGCAGTCGGGGGCGGCTGGGGGTGTTGAGACCGCTGGGGGCGCAGGGGCCTGTGAAGGCCAGCCGGGACCATCTGGAGGAGAGGGAGGAGGAGGAGGAGGAGGAGGAGGAGGAGGAGGAGAGGAGGAGGAGGAGGAGGAGGAGGGAGGAGGAGGAGGAGTCCAGAGTAGCGAAACACCGCCCGTCGTGATTTTCTTTGGGGGGGACTCGAGGGGGGCGGGCGGCGCCGCGGCGGCGCCTCGCCCGCGGGCGCCCGGGCGTCCGCCTCGAGCGGCGCGGCCTCGACCTCCGAGCACTCCAGGGGCAGGCTGCCGGCCTCGGCCACCTCTCGAAAACCAGTGGCCCTCATGCTCCTGCTCCTCCTCCTGCTCCTCCTCCTCCTCCTCCTCCTCCTCCTCCTCCTCCTCCTCCTCCTCCTCCTCCTCCTCCTCCCTCTCCTCCCCCTCCCCTCCTCCTCCTCCTCCTCCTCCTCCTCTCCTCCTCCTCCTCCTCCTCCTCCTCCTCCTCCTCCTCCTCCTCCTCCTCCTCCCTCCTCCTTTCTCCTCCTTTCTCCTTCCTCCTTCCTCCTTCCTCCTTCCTCCTTCCTCCTTCCTCCTCCTCTTTTTTTTGTTTCTTCTTCTTATTATTATTAGTAGTATTATTAGTGTTGTTCTTCTGAGTAATCATCTTCTTCTTCTTATTATTATTATGATTCGTCTTCTTCTCATTATTATTATTATTCCTTCTCATCCTGGTCCTCCTTCTCGTCCTCCTCCTTCCACTCCTCCTCCTCCTCCTCCTCCTTCTCCTCCCTATCCTCATCCTCCTCCTCCCTTTTCTCCTTCTCCTCCTCCTCCTCCCCCTCCTCCTCCTCCTTCTTCTCCTCCTTCTCCTATTTTCCCCCCTCCTCAAGGATGCAAGGGCCTTGGAGGGGAATGTTACCGTTCTTCGGGCGAGGTGGGCCAGCGAAAGTCGCCAAGGATGGGCCCAAGGGGCCAGGATGCAAGGTACCCTTTGTGAAGTTCACCCATCCTTCCTATGCGGGTTGACTGTAAAGGGTCGACTGGAAGGGGTGACTCGGGAAGGTTGGTCATCCTGACAAGGGGTAGTGTTTGGGAACGTTGGGAGACTACAAGGGGTGACAATGGTACCCTTGGGAAGTTTGCCCATCGATACTATACGGGGTGACTGGCCAAGGCCGGGCTAACGACGGTGTTGCTCAACGGTGATGTTGGGAACATAACTGTAGGACATCACGAATCACACATTCCTACCTTTCCAATCTGCGAATGGGTCGAGCGAGCACGACAGAGTTGTAGGACAGCGCACGCCACGCGCTCCTACACTACCGAATCCCACATCGCCGTGACAGACATCGCCGTTAGCCCGTCTACGGAGTGATATCCCCCCGAAATTTGTTGTCTTGTCGGATCTGAATAAAAAATCTCCGAATTATCCATAGACTTTACGAGCGTTCTACGCAGTCGTCGTACATTCGATGGGGAAAATCCACTCCGGGGTAAATCAATCCTGCAGTCGATCCCGTACTCGAACCTCGGGAGGGAGACCCTCAGATCCTGGCGCTGCAATAGTTTCACAACGGGCGCTCTCGCCACGTTTCGAGCCCTGGGACCCGCACAGCTTGATCCGGCTCGAACAATGACGCAGAAAGATGGGGTCTAGGGTTAGGTCGGGCATGTGGTCCTACAGGCGGATTTTGGAAGAAGAGTGACAACCCTAGTAGAAGCGTCAAAGCTGGTCGAGACATCGTCCCCTGACTTCTTAGTTTCCTATATGCAAAAAGCAACAGCTATGTTTGAGCACTCCTCCTGTCGACAGGGGCATGCCCGACTTACGTTTCGGGTTCTGGCCGTGATTGTGGGCGATGTTTCAGTTCGTTCGCAGCGTCGGATGTCAGGGGGGGGTGGGGGGGCGCTCCCCTCGTCGTCCTCGGGCGGGCGGGGCACGGGTGCCAGGCCGTGCTCCGATTGACGCTGGGTGGCCCCATGGATGGGGGCGCGACGTTAGACGAGCGCGTTCCACAAGACTCGCAACGTTTGTGCGCGCAGCTGGCCCGGATCCACCGCGGAGGATCTACGATACGACTACAGCGAAGCAGACATGTGCTTCTTCGGGCGTCCGCGAGTGGGCACTCTGCGAGCAGCGGCACGCGTTCGGTGAGGCATCCTGAGGGCAGTGCCTGTCGAGAGGGGCCCGGGCGGGGGGGCAGGAGCGCAGTGGGCCCGCGGGGGGGGGAGCGATTGGGGGAGGCCCACGACGAGCGAGCCGGCACGAATGGCACGCGCACCCCGACGGAGGAGGAGAGAGGGAGGAGGAAGACAGGACGAGGCGGCGAGTGCCAGAGGGACGAGGACAGGGACGAAGACCCCGACGGAGAAGCTTGCGGGCCGAGTGCCAGCAGCGAAGCGGCAGGCGGCGGCGAGATGGCCCTCGAAGGCGCAGGGAACACCTGCCAGCGGCCGCCGCTGAACGGATGGCCTTCTCTGGCCCACAGCGGTATGGCCAAAGGGTGCACCAAGCTGCCAAAGGGGGCTGGAACATTGGAAGAAGAGGAGCAACGAGGGACGAGACTAGTAAGGGAGCGGATGGAGATCATGGGCACGGTCGAGGAGCAGGAGGTAAGTGAGGGGCTGGTTCCCGCGCGCTCCTTCGAGGAGCACTTCGCCGCCATCGCCCAAGTCCGATCAGGCCATTCGCCCGCCGCACCCGCCGCTCCGTACTGCCGCTTGCCGGGGGGGCTCAAGAAAAGGCGCCTTACCCAACTCATCGCCAACCCCCCGGAGGAGGAGCCCCGAGGAGGAGGGAGAGGAGGCGGAGAAGGGGAATGAGAGAAGCGGGGGGGACAATTAGCTCAATATTCGCAGCTGGGTGCAAGGACGGGTCCTTACTGGTAGAAGCCCTGGGCAGAAGGAGGGAACGGAAGAGAAGGAGGAGGAAAAGGAGGAGGAGGAGAAGGATAATGAGGAGAAGGAGGAGGAGGAGGAAGAGAAGTCGGAGAGGCAGTAGGAGAGGGAGGAGGAGGAGGAGGAGGAGGAGGAGGAGGAGGAGGAGGAGGAGAAGACTTGAACTGCCTTGCTATGGGCCGCGAGGAGGAGGCGGAGGAGGAGGAGGCGGAGGAGGAGGCGGAGGAGGCTAGATAGGAGGATGGAGAAGGGGGGCGTGGGACTACGTCGAAGACGACGACGCCGACGAGTTCGACGACGGGTTCGACGACGAATTCGACGGAGACGACGGCGGCGGCGACGTCGACGCTGCCGGGCCTCCGACTGCTTGGACCCTTGCGAGTCACCACCTCCTGGAGCTTTCGACCCCTTGCCTGGGGCTGGCTTTTCACACCGAGTCGTCTCTGGCGCTCCTGGCTCCGAGAGGCGCCCCCTGGGGGTTCGAGTGTTGTGAAGCGCCTCCAGCGCGATAGTCCCGGGCCTCCGAAAGTCTGGGGCGACGCCGGCGTCATCGTCGACGACGACGCCGGCGTCGTCGAGGAGGACTGAGGAGGAGGAGGGGGAGGGCTGAGGAGGAGGAGGGGGAGGAGACGAAGAGGAGGAAGAGGAGGAAGAGGAGGAGAAGAAGCAGGAGGGCGAGGAGGAGGAGGAGGAGGAGGAGGAGGAGGAGATGAGGCGATAAGGAGGCGCAGAGATGAGGAGATGAGGAGATGAGGAGGAGGAGGAGGAGGAGGAGCAGGAGAAGGAGGAGGAGGAGGGATGAGGAGGAGGGGGAGGAGAAGGAGGAGGAAGAGGAGGAGAGGAGGAGAAGGCGGAGGAGGAGGAGGAGGAATAGGAAAGGAGGAGCATGAGGAGGAGGCAAGGAGGAGGAGGAAGAGGAGAAGGAGTCGAGGAGCTGAGGTGATAAGGAGACGAGGGAATGAGAAGATGATAGCATGATGCGGATGATGATGGTGTTGGTATTAATAATGATGATGATTATGATGATGATGCTGCTGATGATGATGATGATGATGCCAATGATGATGCGGATGGTGATGATCACGATGCTGATGATGCTGATGATGATTGCTTTGGCTGATGATAAGATGATGCTGATGAGGGTGATGATGACGATGTTGATGCTGCTGCTGCTGATGATGATAATGATGATGATGAGTTTGATGAGCATGACGATGATTGGGAGGAGGAGGAGGAGGAGGAGGAGGAGGACGAGGACATGAGCAGATGAGGGGATGAGGAGATGAAGAATTGAGAAACTGAGGTGAGGAGGAAGATGATGCTGATAATGGGGAGGAGGTGAGGAAGAAGGAGGAGGAGATGAGAAGGATGAGAGGAGGAACATGAGGAGCAGGCGGAGGAAGAGGAGAAGGAGGATGAGGAGGAGGAGGAGGGGGAGGAGGAGGAGGAGAGGTGGAGGACGAGGAGAAGGAGGAGGAGGAGGAGGAGGAAGAGGACGAGAAGTAGGAGGCGGGAATGCTGAGGAGGAAGAGGAGGAAAAGGAGATGCGGAGATGCGGATTTGAGGAGATGAACAGGTGAGGAAGAGGATAAGGCGGAGAAGGAGGAGGATGAGGAGGAGGCGGAGGAGGATGAGGCAAGGATACGTATGAGGAAGTGGAGGAGGAGTAGGAGGAGGGGGAGGAGGAACGGAGGAGGAGGAAGAGGAAAAGAAGGAGACTGAGGAGGGGGAGGAGGAGGAGGATGACGAGGAGGAGGGGGAGGATGCGAAGAGGGAGGAGATGAGAGGAGGAGGATAAGGAGGAGCAAGAGGAAGGGGAGGAGGAGGAGGAGGAGGAGGAGGAGGAGGAGGGGGAGAAGGATATGAGGACATGAGGAGATGAGGAGATTAGGAGGAGAAGGCGGAGGAGGGGGAGGAGGAGGATGATCAGGAGGAGGAGTAGGAGTAGGATATGGGGAGATAAGGAGATGAGGACATGCAGAGATGAGGAGATGCTGGTGATGATGGTGAATATTGTTATAATGATGAATATGATGCTGATGATGATAATGCTGATGCTGATGCTGATGACGATGATGCTGATGATGCTAATGAGAATGCTGGTGGCGTTGCTGATGCTGATGATGCTGACGATGCTGATGATACGGATGATGAGGATGATGATGCTGATGGTGATGCTGATGATGCTGATGCTTATGTTGATGGAGATGCTGCCCAACATGATAATGCTGCTTCCGATGATGATTATGATAGTGGTGGTGGCGATGGTGGTAATGCTGCTGCTGATGATGATGCTGATGATGCTGATGCTGCTTCTGATAACGATGATGGTGATATTTGAGGTGGAGGGCGGGGAGGGGGAGGAGGGGCAGGAGGAGGAGGAGGAGGAGGGCGATGAGGTGCAGGAGGAGGATGAGGAGGAGGAGGGCGATGAGGTGCAGGAGAGGAGGAAGTGAGGAGATGAGGAAATGAGGAGATGAGGAGATGAGGAGGGGGAGGAGGAGCAGGAGGAGGAGGAGGAGGAGGAGGAGGAGGAGGATGAGCCCACGCACCGTACTCGAAAGGAGGTGGGCCCCCGTGGTGGTCGGCGTCTCTCGGCGGGCCCCCCCGGGGGGGGCTTCCAGGGCCGCGGCCTCGTGCCGCCACGGCCTCCCCCGCGGCGGCGGCGGTGGGCAGCCGGGCGAGCGTGCGCGCGCAGCCACTGGCGACGTCGTCTTCGACGTCGCCGTCGTCGCCGTCATCGTCCGTCGTTGTCGTCGCCGTCGTCGTCGCCGTCGTCGTCGTCCGTCGTCGGCGTCGCCGTCGTCATTGTCGTGGTCGCCGACGTCGCCGTCGTCGTCGTCCGTCATTGGCGTCGTCGTCGTCGTCGTCGTCGTCGTCGTTCGTCGTTGTCGTCGTCCATCGCTGCCGTCGTTGCCAGCGCGGAGGAGGAGCAGGAGGAGGCCCGAAGGAAGGCTGAGAGACGAGAGGCCAAATGGGGGAGGGGGAGATGACAAGCTAGGCGCGCTAGCGTCACATTTGACGTCCTACCCCTCCCTCCCATCCCTTACCATGGCGAAGATGTCCTATCTATTCGCAGAGTCGGATTTCGATCAGGGAACTGATCCGAAGAGGGTACGCGATGGATGGAAAAGCATGGCGCAGAAGAGCGCGGCAGAGCATAGCATGTCATGGCATGGCGTAGCATTGCGTAGCAACGCATTGCATCACAAAGTATAGCAATCTCAAGCATGGCATCGCACAGCAAAGCACCGCATTGCATGCCGTGGCATGGCACCGGATGGCGAGGCGATGACCGAAAGCGGCAATGAGGCCACCGCTGCAGCGGGAGCACGATTTGGAAGGACTGCAGCACTGGAACGAGGCAACCGCTACAGTGACAGCGCTACTTGGAAGGACCGAACACGCCAAAGCTGCTGCGGGAACATGATGTGGAACAGCTGGAGGCACGGGAACGAGGCCAACCCTGCAGCGGGAGCACGAACTTGAAGGTCCGAAGCGCGGAAATGAGGGCGGCGCTGCAGCGGGAGCACCATTTTGGCAGAACCAGAAACGACCGTACTGAAAGCACACATCGGAAGAACCAAATCATGAGATCCTGTGTAAAAAATAACAATGCGCGGAGAGGGCGGGAGACTCTCCGGACAGAGTCAGGGAAGAGAGCAGAGTAGTAGTCGTATTGGTGAACTGTTGAGGAAGACGTGCAAGGGATAACATCATACCCCTCCCTCCGATCCTTTACAACAGAAGTGAGACCCCTCTGTCCGCAGAGTTGAGTGACCAGTGTCGAAGCAAAGGTCGATCCCGCAAGAGCAACTTCGTTCGAGAGGGACCCTGAGATGAAGATATGGGATGGGCATGGAGGGAGCGGAGGGAAACTGCGCCGGCTATGAAGGAGGCGGAGGGGCGGATGAGGGTAGGGCATTATTGACGAATGGGGCAGGAGGTCGGACTGAGGAAAGCGACAAGGAAGATAAGGAAGCACGGGCAAGAATGCGGAGACATAGGGTAAACAACTGGAGGGGAACGACTGGGAACATGACCGCGCGAAAAAGTTGGACGACTGAGATGCGTTGCGTATGTGGAACCTGCTGCGATCGACAAACCCTGCGGCGGGAGCTACCTCCACGGCCAGCGCTGCGGCGAGAGCGACCTTCCATTGGACTCGAACGCAATGGAAGGTGCGCAACGCGGCCAGCGCTTCCGCGGAAAGCTGCGCGCTGCGGCGCGGGCGACGGTCCGTTTGGCGACGGCCCGATGCAGAGGTCCTGAGATGTGGCTGGCGCTGCGGCCAGGGCCTTTGTGGGCCCCGGAAACGGCAGGGCCATTTTTTCACCGTTTCCAAAAAACATGTCCCTTGAAAATGGAAACGGCAAGAAAACAGCGACCGGAAACGGCAAAAAAAACGGCTCCAGGATTGGAACCGGAGCCGGAACCAGTCAAAAAACGGCGACGGAACCGGTAACAAAAACGGCGTCGGAACCGGCAATCAACCGGCAAAACGGAACCGGTAAAAAAGACGGCCCTGTCGTTTCCAGGGCCCACTAAGGCCAGGGCACATCTCTGGAGGGGCCGCGAGCGGTCGGAGCGGAGACGCCGTCCCAAGCCGCCGGTGGGCCGCCCTGCTGTGGAGCAGCAGTGTGGCGGCCAGGAGCGCTCGTGCTCAGCGTGTCGCGCCGCGGGTCCTGGCCCACGGCGCCTCGGGGCGCGCCGCGCCCAGACGTCCCAGCCCCCAAGCTGAACAGCATCCTCTGGCCATCGCTCGGACGTCCATTTCCTGTGTTTTTGTTTTGGTCTCGTGCGTGGCTTTTTCGCCACATGATCCAGGATGCTTCTCGATGATCCTCGCCGAAGGGAAAACTG